TCTCTCATTTTGGAATCCACTATTACTTTCTAGATAGTTTTCTAGCGTTTCAAGGAAATCCTCTTTTTGAATCTGAGTGCTCAAGGTTTCCCGATTAACCCATTGCAGACCGCGTGCTGCACCATGTGCATTGCACCACCATGCAGAAGTGACGTCACCTTAGGTTTATTTACCATCTTCCTGAGCTGCAAATCCAGCAGTAAGCTTTCACAACCACAGAAAATATCACATTTTTGGACACTGATGAGATTACTGCTAGATTATTGGTTACCGATAAATCAGACGACAAAAACCTATGGAGGTACACAAATACGGCGGTCCGCAATGGGTTAATGGTTTTTCAAACATGAGGAATCACTGCATTTCGGAAGAAGAATATTTCAGTTCATTATGCCTGAAATGTTAGCGGAATGTGTGCTGATTACTCGCCCAATCAATGAACTGCATGCTGTTCTTCTGGCAAAACTTCATCAACTAGCTGAAATGAGGGTAAGTTTTTTGTTGACTGTGGCTTTTTGTATTTGTACAGTCTTTATGGCATTTGTAGTTTTCTTTTTTGGAACCTAAATTGCGTTTAATTGGGAAATGAGAGATGCGTATCAAACCTGTAACATTTTTTTTGAGTTGATCATGAAATCGTACCATCGCAAAAACGCGCTTCAAAGCAACAACCCCAGATGAGGTTGTGTCGAAGAATCTGTTCTGTGGGTTGGTGGAGTAGCCCACGAGTATCACTTATGTGCCGTTGTCGTGGTCAAAGTGCGCGACAATGGCGCTAGGCCTTACAAAGTGATCTGGGCTACTGATGTGAACTTATGGACGAGATACCTTACGCACACCCCGTGATACGCAGCGTGGATTACGACGTAGCGGCTAATTCAAATACGCGCGGGTTAGTGGAGCCATGGAGCAAGCAAGTTTCGACAACTCGTCCAGACACGCCCCACTCTCATTTCAAAGGGGAATAGAGGGAACCTTTTAATGATTTCCACGGTTGTTTACTTTGGTTCGTTCTCCTTTCTCAGTCAGTTTGGCATCCAAAATTTCATTCAAAACTGTTGCTATCCCACCAACTAGATCTGGGTTGCTTTAATAGACGGTTTGAGATCCTCGAGCTATAGTTTTTGAGATCGGCTAAGTATGGTTGAATCGAAAGGAGTGATATGGATTTGGGTAGTGAGCCCTTCCTTATCTGTTGCCACATTTCACTCGCCCCATCTTGGCTTGTGCCTTTAATTAACCCTTGGTTTTATATAAAGGATTTGATTCGTGAAACATGGATGTGACAATAGTGATTTTTGTCACTACGCTTTCTCCGACTTGAGGGGCTCATATTAGGCAAATTTATTGTAACCCTACCATGCTTTCATGGAATTTGGCAGGCGAATAGTGCGTAGGGGAGGTTAAAAATTGGCAGAAAAAAGTATAGCATCAGAGAGGTTGTTTGAGCTTACTTTCCTATTATTCTTATCTGCTTTCAGAATCGGACGGAATGGGACGCGCAAGTGCGGCATCTATTGGATCGAGTTTGGTCCACCAGTCCAGAATAACCAGATCGTTATGTTAACCGAGGTATCCCCTTCCATAGTTCTACCATCGTTATCGCTTCGTCGTGGTTACCAGTCTTCACTGGGCACTGATCCTCTCTGACCAGTCCCACTCTCTGTATTCCTCCCTTGTTTGATTTTCGTTTCCTGAAAGAAAAGCTTATCTGCCATTCATGGCGACAAACCGATCGCAGCGTTTGTTCAGAACTCATTTAAATAACAACTGCACTGTTTGGCATAATTTTGGAGCGATTATTCAGGCCGTCAAAGTGCAAGCACAGTGCTATTCTTCGAGAGTTCTATCTCATGAAGAGCCTGATGCGGTCGAAGACGAGCGCCAGTTAAGATCCATCAAGAAGCTGTTCAAGATGAATGCAGAGACGGACTCGTTGAAGATACAAGGAGGAGTTGCCTTCGCTGCTCAGGTAAGCAGTCCAATTTCTCTATGAATGGAATCGTCTTACCAGTAATCTGGTTGAGCTAAGGGCGCAGGAATTTTTTCTCAGTGTCCATCCTTCAGTATCTTTGACTTTTGGCATTCTGCTGTTCATTGGTTTCAACAACAACAAGAGATCTCATAACACATCCAAAACCTAACAGGGTGCGTGTAGGTGTATATTTTACGAAGTAATCGCAGATGGTTGTGAAATAGCTCTTACTAGTTGAGCTGCTTCCATGGCCACAGCCCCAGCACTGAGTAAGTAGAGCTCATAAATAGGAGATAGGGATGGTAAAGTTAGCTTTTACGAAGGAATCTGACAAAAGTGGGCATTTGGCACATTGATAATGCTCTGGCCCAGCGGTAGAAGAGAGGGTACAAGGAGTGGGAGAAAAGGACTTGCACGACAGTCAAATTGCATAGCGAAAGTTTAAGCTGAAAACATACTTGAGTCTGAAATGCGTTGAGTCGCTTAAGTGAAGCACTTGTTGCAAGGCGCAAGCTGGCCTTTTTCAATTCACCACGCCACGGGTGCCCGACAGGAGGCTCGTCACGCGGCAGGAGGGTGGGGTCAGCGCACGAGTTGTGTCGCTGTCAAAATAGGAGGTTATAATGGTATGATATATTTGGTGTGCCGCGAAATCACGTTGCCAGTTACGTCTGCGCCGTCCGCTGACTCTGCCTTTCCGCGCAAAGGCCTCCTGTCGGGCTACGCTTTCACAGTAGCCAGTAGAGGCGCGGATTCCTGGCTGTTTGTGGCATGCGCGGGTCCTACAACTTAAGAACTCATCAGTAAAATTCCAACGTTCAAGTCACATTATTCTTTCACGTTGCGAGCCAACAAAATTAGGTTGCCTGCCGAAGCGTCGAAATATGCATTAACAATTGCTCCGGGTGAGACGACAATGCTCGGCTTTGCACGTCCGAACGTCTAGAAAAACGCCTCAGTTTTGATGCAAAGTCGAAAATTTTTTGCCGCCTGCAGTTTCACTTAATTGTGCCCATCCTGTACAGTCAGCGATCAGTTTCGTACCTCATACTTTGCTATGCCCGTGAGGTCTATCTGTCACATGTCGGCAAGTCACAAAGAAGCAGATAAATCGTCTTTATTTTGCGTCATAGATAAGAATAGGAAGCGGTTTTGTTGCCCAGTTTAGGCCTCAGAACTTTTGGGACGTAGGCTTCCAACGTTGCATGCAAGTGTTGTGTAACTCTGCAGATTTCGGGAGCTTGTATGTACGAAACGCAGGCAGTAGGCAAATTAAAGCCGCTATGTCGCGCGGGATTGAAAACCCCTCAGGATAGGTACGAGCTCCGCCCTCTACGCGATTCAGTTTGTTGGGTTTCCAGATCCTCGGCCAGGAAAGACGGTTAATCGAAATAGCGTCATGTGCAATTAAACATGCACGTTGGAGTCAACTCTTTTGAACGGACGTTCACGGATTTGCATTTCCACACCTTACCAACTGTTTTTATAAGCGGATGTTGTGAAACTATAAATGTCCGCCACAATGGTACGTTAAAGGAATCCTGCGCGGAAAATTCTTGCACTCTTTCTTGACATGGATGTGTCAGTTGTGATCACTGGAAACAGCACGCAAAGTTTCACGCATGAAGATTCGGTTTCCGAAGAGAAACAAACGTCCAAAAACTACACGTTATGGACATCGAAGGTAATTCGGGCGGAGCCAAACGAGACATGGAAAGAAGTTGGCCTTTAGCCGGCTACGTATCAGGCGACGCAATGACGGAATCCGGGTAAAGTGATCGATTTTGGAGAATAGAGGCAAACAATCGATAGAGTATGATGCAGTAGAAGTGTAAGATGTGAATGCAATAAAGCAGAAAGCCAGAAAGAGTTTCTAGTGAAGGCACTCCAAGAACCAAGTGGAAGCATCCCCGTCGCCAGCATTTGTGAAAGACGTCCGTGGGCACTTTGAACGCGTAGCAGCCTTTCGTTTTTGAATTTTTTACCAAAACGAAAGCAATATTTCTGTTCTTTTCATTCTTATCGTGGATAATGAGTCTCAAGCCAGTGATTTATGGCTGAAATAGAATCATTTTTCCGCGAAGGATTCCTTTCAACTCTGGGAGAAGGTCGCTGGAACATTGCTGGCGCGGTCTTTATCTGTTGAATTACGCTGCAACTAAGAGGAAAAGACGGCATGCCTGCTGATCTTGAATCAGTGCTTCCCGGAGCATCCTACGAAAGTTTGCGGGTTCCGAAAGGTCTTCAACAAAGTTCAGGCATTATGTGCTAATGACTGCACATGGAGCCACTAGCACACTTGCCAGACCCAAACCACTACTACCGAAATAGTGAGAAGGATAACAGAGCATACCACTCTATTACCATTCGCGGATCCCCTTTTTTCGAAATCCGAAACTGATACGTGGGTGGATCAAATTTACATGATGGCTGCAAAGTATGGTTCGATATTTAGTCGCTCATGAAAAGTAGGTGGCAAGATATTTTCTAAATAATTTTATCAGTTAGTAAACAGCTTCTACAGAAACAACTGTGCACAGTGTTATGCCATATGGTTGCCTTCAGCCAGAACGCTAACTTCTAATCTCTCAGTAAACGCTTCCACGATGGGCCGCAGGTAGTTGGCATAAAATATCTGCCATTTTCTCTTAAGCCTCCAAAGTGTCAATGCATTAATGTGTAGAGGAAAACAAGTCCTGTTGTAGATAGCATCCGTACGGAATACTCCATTAGGTTCAGGTCAAGGCAATTAGATGACTACATATTCTTTTGCCATAATCCAAAGAAGTGATGCTGGTATGACCCTTCTAAAACCTACCTGGCCGTTATATCTGTGATTTTCAGCAAAAGCGCATAATTGGCATGCTCTAAATCCCAGCGAGTGCAGTATAGGTTGAAGGAAAAATCATTTTTTTATCGGGTTAGATATAAATTTGCCGTACCATACTTTCCAGCCACTCTTTTGTGGTTGTGAAGGTTGTCTTTTGACGAGGTTAAAGGTAAGGTTTACATCTCCAAACACGCTACTACACCCCCTGCCCGAAACGAACACGTGCGATGTACGAAAGCGATTTTATGAAGTTCCAAAGCATAAGAATTATTAACAGCAAGCAACCTTCAGCGATTCGTCAACGTAAGAATCGTACTTGACCTGGAAAGGTTTCCTAATGGATGGGATGAAGGGTGATGTGAAAAGGGATTTTTGAAGGATTCTAAAAGATTTAAAAGTTTATATGACTTCTGTGTTTACGCTGCTTCGAGAGGGATGGTTCAGTGCACAGTAGCGAAAGTTTTAAAAAATTTTGGTGAGTTACCTTCGAATTGCAGACCTTCGCTCGTGCCCTCAATGCAGAAGACTGGGATTTCGTCACGTCAGAGACGAAGTGAGCTTTTATAAGTAATTGTAACTATCGATGTTGTTGTTGTTCAAAGTTCTCAAGCTCAGTTTGTCATATTTCTTGAAATATTTCCTCAGATTTCTGTCAATTACAACAACGATGGCACAACTATTGGCTGCATACCTGATGAGTTCAGCTCCTGGTAAAGATGCCAGTCAACTTCGAAAAGTCTGTGATACTCTCAATGCGCACATCACCCCAATCTTCGACCAGCCAAAGTCAGTGACATGAGATGTTTCTCTTTTTTTTTACTTTTGGAATTCTCTTTCTTGTTAGCTGCCTCTTTGATTCAATATTCCTTGTGATTTTCTCGAGTTTTTTGACCCCTAAAGGAAATTTAACCTAGAATATGCAGATTGAAGGTTTGCTTTACAGCCGAAATGGGCGACGTGATGTGAATCGTGGACGAGACCGAGACGAAAGAGACCGCGCAGCCAGTGTCATTGAACTGTCAAGGTTTCTACGGCTTATCCGAGTGAGTTAATTAGCATTTCCTTATGCTACTAGCAACAATTTGGAGAAATTTTTGATGGCCGTGAGCCTTCCTTCAGGAGCCGTCCTTGGGTGCACTGTCGTCACTTTCAAGGCGCAAACTAAAGGGTCAAAGTGTTCTGCGCTCTAGAGGGTATTCCTTTGAACTAGTTTTCTGTTCATCAACACTTTGCTTCCTTGAGCGGCACCTTATTAAAGCTGTCCTCAGAAGCCGTTGTTGTCCGTTCGTTCATTCGCTTGGAACTGGCCATTTTTGGTCACGGAGGTTTTAATTGACTCGATCATGATTATTGATTGGCGTTTGAATTGAAAGTTCTCAAGCAGTCGAATATGTTTCTGAAGAATCGCTCGAGGAACAGTCAAGTCAGCGATTCTCTCTTCCAGTAAGAGCTTGACTTGAAAAGCTGGATCGCAGTAATTTTGAAGCCATCAAGATTTACACCAGTTATGACCGCAGCGATTTGAGGGCGCACACGCAAAAAGTTTTGAAGCTCTCTGTTGTTGCTGCAGTTGATCGTGGTGATTTAACTGCACTAGCAG